TTTCAATGTACAAATAGTTACCCTACTTCAGGACCTACGACCTCGGGGGCTTGGATAGACATTGTCTTGTTGAAGAATAGATTAGCCCTCCGTCAATAATAGCCCGCAGTCAACGGCTCATAAAAGTTGAATTGTGGAGTAAAGGAAAAGCGGAAAGCAAAGTTCAAGCTTCCCCAGTTAATTTTTAAATAAAATATAATTACTATTATAAATTAAAGGTTTCTCCTGAGATGGGTTTGTGTCCCAATTCACTTCTGTTATCGTGGCAGTGCATTCATCCTCGCATTCTTCACTTGACCCAACGCAACTAATTGGATGAAACTAAAATGGTTTACTTTTAATTGTATGTAATTATGTATTAATGTTGAAACCCGGACTTCTATTTTTATTATAGAATAATCAAATATGAACCGAAAAATAAAAATTTTTCAGATCCGTTAGTCCGGAATCCTAGTATTTGCTGAAACCCAGATTTTCCGTATTTTGATCCGGAAAACCAAGTCCGGATATAAAAAATGCGGAAACCGATCCGACATTTCCAAAACTTTCAACTCTAGTAATTATTAACTTCCTTACATTGATTTGACCAAAAAATTCATCCTAAAATGTTTAAATTTGACTAATATGTAATTATTAAAGAACGGATTTATATGGACTAATATTTTAAAATATGGACGATATATAGAATAAAAATATTTGATTAGGGACTGAAATATGGACTAAAATGCAAAATATGGATCAAATATGGACTGAAAAATAAAAATTTTTAACGGAAAATTTAAATTTTTAAGCAGAAAAGTTAATTAATAGTAATTATTTTGTTTCCGAAAATTTTTAATAATATTTGAGTAGAAAATTTAGCGAAAAATTTTTGTCAAAAAATTTTTCAATAAAGTTTTTCAAAAAATTTTTATATAAAAATTTTTACTAAAAATTCATAAATTTAACCCAATTTTTGATAAAATTTTACAAAAATGACGAAATATTGATAAAATATGAAAAACATAGATTGATAAACAATAACGGCCTTATCAACATATGCTAAAACTATGTTTTTTGGACGTTTCAGAACTCAACTAGGCCATGATAAAAATATCGAGATCCATATAAATCCGTTCCATAGTAATTATTAACATCCTTACTGGATCCATATCTGTATCAACATAAGTCTAAATTGTTTAAATTTATATTATTAACCTATTTACTCTTTTTAGTATATGTACGTGTCCAGAGGAGGGTTCTTGGTTTCATCAGATAGAGATGCCCAGAGTTCCAATAGAGATGCCTAGAACTCATTAATCAGCTACCAAACCCCTATTGTACTTCCGTACCTTCATACCATTTTTAGACCCAATTAGTAAACTATAGTAAGGTCCGACTGTGGATATTATTTTTTTTAATAATGCGTCGCTAATATCAATTTTTTTCTCACGGCGCAAATATTCCAAGCACAAAAGTCAGGGAACCCTAGAAATAATTACAAGCATATTAAAATATTTTTAAAACAACATAATTGAAAGGCTATCCGACATTTGGGGATCAGACCTTTGGGGACCCGACAGTTGGGGACGACTTTTGGGGATACGACTTTTGGGGACCCGACTTTTAGGGACCCGACACTTAGGGACCCGACTATTGGGGACCCGACACTTGGGGACGAAATGAAATTTTAAAAAAATTTGAAAATCTACCTAAAGCGGGTCTTTAATACATAGTCGGATATGGACAAAACATGGTCATTGACTCAGCTCGATGTCTGAGTCGAATGACGGTGAAAACCAAGTGCGGGAGTCAAATGTCAAGGGAGTCAAGCACGGGAGTTAACGATCAAGCGCGGGCTGTTGACTCCCGCGCTTGATCGTTAACTCCCGCGCTTTGTTTTCACCCTCATTCGACTCAGACATCGAGCTGAGTCAATGACCATGTGTTGTTCATATCCGACCATGCATTATAAACTTGCTTTAGGAAGATTTTCAAATTTTTTAAAAATTTTATTTCGTCCCCAAATGTCGGGTCCCCAATTGTCGGGTCCCTAAGTGTCGGGTCCCTGAAAGTCGGGTCCCTAAGTGTCGGGTCCCCAAAAGTCAGGTCCCTAAGTGTCGGGTCCCCTTAGGTCGTCCCCAACTGTCGGGTCCCCAAAAGTCTGATCCCCAAATGTCGCGCCACGAATTGAAATGCCGTTTTCTACTTTATGATCATTGATCACTTATTTAAAAATTTTGCCTGGATTCTATGTTTTTTGTTTATCATAAAATAGGTATAAACGCAATTAGCCACATTTTTCTCCGTTTTCAAATGAAAAGGTAACTGTATGAGTTAAGAATAAAAAATGGGCGAGCACGCAAAAAATGCAGAGGGAATGAGGAAAGTGAGCATTCCATTTGCGGACAGGTAGATAGCGAGCTGGACCTTTGGCTTACACAGGTATTAGTAAGAATCTTGGTAAAAGCTTCCAAACACTGCGTATATAATTTAAAAAAATGAAAATGTTCGTCTAGATGTTTTAAGATCTCAAAAATTACCGCAAAATTAAACAAAATAAATATATTAAATAACATTATGATTGAACAATACATAATAATCTGAACAGAAAGAATAAATTGTTAAATTATTTTATCTATATGTCACGTTTTATCGTATAAATCGAATAATTATTGTATGAATTGAAAAGAAAATTAATCAAAAATAAGAAAATACTAAATATTTATAATGTAAATAATTACTTACCGTATATACCCTATTAATTACCCTCCCTCAAATATTTAATTACCCCAACCTCTATTAGTTACCCTCTTTAGTGAAGGGTTGAAACCAGGGCTATCCTTCTAAAAATAAACAACTCGCAATCCGCAATTTCATTTTAAAAATCCGCAAACGCAATTCGCAACTCGCAATTTTAATTTTGAAATCCGCAAACGCAATTCGCAATTGCGCCCAGCCCTGGTTGAAACAATAATTACTCCCTTGAAAATAGTTATAATTTGTCTTCCGAAAATAACCTCTATTAATTACCCTCTCCAGAGAGAGGTCGAAACAACAATTACCCAGGGTAATTAATAGAGTATATACGGTATATATTAGAAATAAAGTTAAAAAATATTTTTTAATGGTTTTATGGCCGTATAAATGATTAATTAAAAAACTAATATGTATTAAAAAAAATTATATGAAATTAAATAATGTTTAAAACTAATTTTTAATATTGTGTAAAAATTAATAATTAGTCATTCTGTTAATTAATTTCCATTAAATTTACAAATTAATTTTATTCAGACAAATTTAATGCATTAAAATAAAAAAGTATAGCCAGTCGTTTCAGGGTTGGAAGACTGATATCTTTGTGTATGGGAAATTGATCTCAGCGTGAAAAAGTGGGGTATTGGGCCCTAGAATATTGGGCTCTAGAATTTTGGGCTCTACGCAAAAAAGTCAAAGTAATATTAGAAAAAGAATGAGTATTTGACAATGATGAAACTTTTAGGAAGTTGGTGATGAGCTTGATCCTAATAAGTTTTTACTCTACTTCCGTATTTCCCACAATCTAATTATTTCAGACTTACATCACACAATATGGAAAAACTTTTGAATACCCGCATTTAAATTAGTCTTTAAAGTCAGTAAAAGCATTGGAAATCAAAAATTTATGTATCTTTCTTTACTATTTTCTACAATTTTTTACTAATGTCTACCTTTGCATTATTACTAAAAAGTATGTACATGTTTAATTATTAACATGCCATTGAAAATATTTCTAAAGGGGTATAATATTTCTATTTCTTATTTCTCATTTTTCCAAACCTTCAGAAAAAATTGACAAAGAAGTGCTTTTTCGATATTTTAGAGATTTACCACTTTCAGTTTACTCAATAACTTTAAAATACAAGCGGAATAATAAAAGATAGAGAAAATTTTAAATCACATTAGAGTAAAGAATTTCTTTCGTTTTTGTCATCTACTGATCACTCTAAAATCATAACGATCCCTCAATCATCTTGTTTTCTTTTAATAAACTCAATCGCTTTCTGTATCATCTTCCTCTGTAGATGTATCTGGAAGATAAATTTCTGATTCAACATCATCAGATTTATTATCATCTGAAGACAAGTCTTCAAGATAACTTTCTGTATTATCATCATCTGATGGTTCAAGATAACCTGTGGAAATTATAATTATGATATGAATGACTTAATTTCAAATTGAAAGAATTAATATTAAGTTGCTGTAATTATCTATATAATAGTTTTCACCTAATATGCATCGATACTGTAACTTACTGACATTAGTTACAAGGCTTTACCAACTGAGCTATCAGAGCCTGTTTTCGTCGTCTCTTTTAATTTATGTTAATCTCCAGCTTAGTAAGAGTTTTAAATGCTAGCCAGCTGGATCTCTTTTATTCCTTACACTATGCTAGAATATAGAAGAATATAGACTATCAAATTTCATAGTCTTCAAATTACTTGAACCAACACACTTTGATTTACCACAATCATTTTCTATTGCCAAACTTTTGCTAAACTCTCAGACTAAAATTATGGTAAAATATAATCTTTACCAGTAATTAAAGGAGGGGTGCTTGGTTGATTTAATTGTTGAGGATGATGCAAATTGATGTCGATAGGTGTCGAGGATCCTGCAGTTGTTTGCTGAGGATCTAGAAATTATAGAATCTATATATACACTAAACGACTTCTTAAGACTCCGAAGGATCTTTTTTAAGGACTCGTCATTTCTCCAAGTACTTCTCATTTTTATATGAAGATAACCATCTATAAAATTTTGACCTTATACCTTTGAAAACAGGTTTAGTTCTATCCCTTTACCTCACCAAATTTTATCTTTCAGAATCATGAGTAATTTTGAAACATACTTAACTACCACAAAATAAATTAATTTAATTAATTTACCGGCTATAACAGGAAGCATTGCTTTTGAAGTCGATGATGTAGAATGTACTCCAGTTGTAAATTTAGGATCTATAGAAAAAGATTTGCATATTTTCATAATTTAAATAATTTTTTGCCTGTGCTAGCCTGACCAGTCTCGAAATGACGCCCTTGCTGGGCTTTTCCTGCTTGCTGAGCAGCAAATCGTGGACCTTTTCTCGGAGTTGTCTGTGTATTAACCTCTTTACGAGTCGGTTGTTCGGCTACAGCTTTGTTTCTTGTGTGTGAAGTTCGTGGACTTTTTCTAGGACCTGCAGTTACTAAAGTGTCTCCTGAATGCGAGTCCGAATAAGTTCCTTTCCCACTTCTTGTTTTCACACAATCTATTTCTTTCCAAATGATATCAAATAATAATAAAATGAATACAATTCCGAATACACGCATTTTTAGATAGTTTTTTGAGGAAATTTCCTGAAAATTTCAAAAAAATAATTTACAGGTCTAGAGAATGAATAAATTGTTGATAAAGCTGACAAAGGTTTTACATGACATTTACAGAAGATATTACACACAAGAGAGAAATAATCTGTTAAAACTAGGGTTGCTCACGACCGTTTTTAAAACCGAAAATTTTGATATTTTTCGCCAAAAATTAACCGATTTTACAAAATTTAAAAAACGGAAACCGGAAACTTCTGAAAATAAGTGATTTTATTAAAAATTCCCCCAAAATAAAACCGTTATTTGTCTAAAACTCAAAACCGAAAACCGATTTTTAAAATTTGAAATAACCGAAATCTGGGGTGACTGAAAACCGGTCGTGAGCAACCCTAGTTAAAAGCTACTGAGAGACTCCATAAATTTAAAGCAAATATGACAAAAAATTGTCTGAAAAATCATATTAATGAATAGAATTGACAAACTTTGAATTTATTTTTACAAATTTTAGAAATTTAGCTGAGGAATTCAAAGGAATTCTTTTAAATTTAAAGCAATGACTATTTTAAGACTGTCTATTTTTCTACCATCGCCTATGTCGATGCCCTTCACTCAATACAAGTTCTCGTATAAAATCATATGAAAATTATTGACTTGCCATTTAAAAAAATTTTCTCTCAATGGCGATAGAGTCTTTAATTCAGCCTTCCCGCTTTTATTCTTGAGAATCCATTTAAATTTTTTCTGGGTGATCAAAGCTCAAAAGTGTATTTCCGACAAACTTATATATGTGTCCAATCAAACTTTATGCGTCCAATCAAAAAACAATTGAATTTTTCTTAGTATTGCAATGTAGGGGTATAGTTCCAAACATTTCTTCATGTTCGGGACCTACGCCCACTGGGTCTGGGACTGTTTCATGCCCTATTCCTCAAAATTTCAGAAAGTTATAGCCTATTTTTAAAAATTTCAGAAAAACGATTGTAACTTTCAGAAATTTCGAGGGATAGGGTAAGGAACGGTCCAAGACCCAGTGGGCGTAGGAAAATTATAAATTATTTTATAAAATTTATTTTTTAAAACTTATTTCTATTTTTAATTTTAATCAAATGAAAAAATGATAAATAAGGGACCATGAAAATATCTTGGACCAAGTGGGTGTCTTAGACCAAGTGGGTGTATGTCCCGAATATGTAGAGCTGTTACGGAAATTAAACTCAACTTTAAAACACAAAGAAAATGGTTATAGTCCTAAATTGGCCGGCCAAATTGAATTTGTCCTGAAAATGAATTTGGACGGCGACTATGCATCGCTAATGACACCATTTCTTACCATTGTCTCTCTTTTTATTATTAAATTAACCTAGAAGAAAGTTATCCTGGAATTTAAATTAGGGTTGCGCCCCGAGCCTTCGGGGTTGAAAAAGTCGGGGTCGGGGTTTTCGGGGTTGACAAAATCGGGGTCGGGGCGCAACCCTAATTTAAATATAAGAAAAGCTCTCCTAGACTAGGCAAAAAATAGGCTTGAATATAACACAATCTAAGCATTTTTCTTCGATTATTCGATTTAATCAACTTGTTAAAAGTTTAAATAGAAAGAAAAATTGTTTTTAAAATTTTAATTTTTAAACTATTTAAACTTTATTGATCGATTATTTGCCATGGGGGGGGGGGGGCTGAGAGCGTGAAACGTTGCAGATTTCTTAATAAAATGCTAGTGAGTGGCATGTATAGAGGGTAGAAAGGCGATGGCAAGACCCACCTTAACAGGGCCCTACCATTCCTTTAAGGGGAATGGCCCTGCCATTCCCTTTAAGGGGAATGGCCCTGCCATTCCCCTGCCATTCCCTTAAGGAGAATGGCCCTGCCATTCCCTTAAGAGAACTATTTTGTACTTACTATTTTATACTTTAATTATTTGACGTATAACGTAAATCCTCTAAAATAAAACCCGGGGCTTATTTTTTTCGATCGACCTCCAGAGGGGGCTTATTTTAGAGGGGGGGGGGGGCTTATTTTGGAGGGGGGCTTATTTTGGGGGGGGGGGCTATTTTAGAGTATTTACGGTATTAGAACCCGTTTTTCTTGTTTTAATAATTTAAGATAAAATAGTAAGTACAATATAGTAACTTTTATTTTATTTTTATTTTTACAATTTATACACAAACATATCTAAATTATTTTTCAAATTTAGGACATTTTAAAAAAATTTGAAATGCGTTTATTCGAATTTGTTTTAATATCATTCATGTTGCTTTGGAAAGAAATTGGATGTGGGAAAACTAGAAGTTTGAATGATTTTTATCCGCAAAAGAATCTTCAAGAACCAACTCAAGAAGTTTCATATGTACTCGCATTACCTGTTCAACAGAAAGTAGGAACATCAAAAGGCAAATCTGTACACAAACAATCGCCAAATCATGAGGGAAAATCATCGACCCCTATGAAAAGAAGTGCACGAATTGCTGCTAGAAAAGGAGAAGGGTCTCAAGCTAGTCCACAGTCGCATCCAAGAGACAACATAGTAATTTCTCCAAATGTCCACGAAAATGAAGGTATTGGAGGTAAAAACAAAATAATTACTTAATTTATAGAGTATTTTAACATTTTTAGCATATCATCTTGAAGAGAATGAGGCTCATCTTAATCAGGAAGAGGATCTGGGACATGGTCACCGAATCATATATGGAAACGTAATATTTAGGTCATAAACTGTTTAATAACTTTTTAGCCCAATATTGATCTGAATGGACCTCCAACTGACGATGAAGAAAGCAAAAACGAATGAAATTTATTTGAGAAACAAGGAGGCGAGGACTTGTAGATTATTTATGTGATTACATTCATCTGCTCATTGTGGCTGTTAATTTTTGAGCAAAATCCTTTCCTATCTTTCTTTGTTGTCCTTTCACGATTGTAATAGTTGTTACAACTTTCATTTCACTTTACACATTTTTATTAGTTGACGTTTTTTTTAAACACTCGAGTAAAATTTTGATCATTTTTTAATTATTTCCTCAAGTATTTGGAAATAAATAGACAAAAAATTTTCGATAACTGGAAGTAAATATATTCCATTGAACCGCTTTAGACAATTTTTTGTGTCTAAGAAGCTCGTAAAAATTTTTCAAAGTAGTGGTGCTTACGGCTCGGCAGCAGCCCTCTCCCAGACATTGAAAAGAGAGGGTAATAATTCTGGTCTCTTTCAAAAAACTCTAATGAACTAAAGGGTTGATAAATCGATCTGGCTTCTATGGATTGGGTTTTCATACAACTTTGAATCAGTTTGCCATGAGACTGATTTTTTAACGTAATAACAACGTTTTTTGTTTGTATAGTCGAAATTTAGAACCAAAAAATATGCTTGATCCTCCCTTTTAGGGTTTTAATTTTCAAAGGTTTTTCAAAAGATTTTAATGCGAATATTTTATAAATCTAAATTTCTTTATCCATTTAAACATTGAATATTTTTTTAAAAATCTAAAATAAATTTTTATCGGGACTACAATTTTTAAATAATAATATACTAGTAATTTGGGCACTCCTGCCGTTGGGAGACGGGCAGTTTTCCTAAAAATATATCTTTTTCTAAACTAAATTGCTGCTTGCTTGATCATATGGGCCGTTATTGTGCGTTGTACTTAACTTTGAAAAAATTTTATGGGAATACAGCGAACCTATTTTGAGTAGAGCAGTGGTACACTATCTCTTTTGACATAGGTCCTAATTTCTTAAGCTAGTAAACTCTGCTGACTCCCGACAAAAAATTTATATTGGTCTTATAATTGTAAGGGCCCCACTCCCCCCCCCCCCCCCCCCCCCCAACGGCAGGAGTGCTGTAATATTTGACTGTCGACAATGTTACTACTCATTTAGACTGTGTAAACTAGGGAAGAAATTTAAAAAAACATGTATATAATCGAAATAAAATAAATAAACTATAAAAAAGACTAAATTGGACTAAAAAATTGGACTAAAAATAAATAAATTGAACTAAATTAAATAAAAAGACTAAATTGAATAACTAAAATGTTCGAAAAGGTTTTTAAAATGCTTAATATGTAGAGGTGTAAAGTAGTTAGTCCGGCGTATATGTCGTTGGGGGCAGAGGGGTCCAACCATTTAGCCCCTCCCACATTTTTAAACGACCATTCAACCATTCCGTCGTCAGAGTCCAAAGGTTTAAGGATTTCCCTTTAAGGGATAATTTGATCAAACCGGTTTGGTGCGAACTTTAAAAAAAAACACCTTACCATACCATTCCCCACATTTTTCACCAAATTTTATTCTAAAAATTTTCCCAAAGTTTCTAGGGTTCAATAAGTAGTTTTCAAACGATTCAATCAAGATTTCCCATATTTTTTCTTTTTAAAACTGTTTCTTAAACTTTTTTTTTTTAAGTTTCTTTTCTTACAATCTTATTTTATTATTTTTACCCTTTATACTTAAAAAAATACAATAATTATTAAAAAGTAGGCGGTTGAAATAGAAATAGTAAAAATCAGTCATGCAATAATTATGTTGCAAAATTATTGTTGAAAAGTGAAAATTGGTTAGAAATAGGTCATGCAAGAGAAAAAACTGTAAAAATTTGTAAATTATTGTTGAAAAGTTAAAAATGGGTAAATTTTTAAAAAGTAGACGTTGGAGATAGAAATAACTTTAAAAAGTATAATTAGGTAAAAAATAGCTCATGCAAAAATTGATCAAAAAAATTATTAAAAAGTAGGCGTAGAAAAGTGAAAATAGACTATAATTATAAAAACAAAATATTTCTGTAATAGGAAAAATAAATAAATGAAAATAAATAAAGTTTTATAATTACCCCTCTCTATTAATTACCCACTAATAATTTAAAAAATTAAGAGTTTAAAAAATAAATTCTACAAACAACATCGTCGCATCGTTCACAACTTGCTAATTATATACCTAAAATTTTTTCTTTTTTTTTTTTTAATTTTTCTTATTATGCTAATTTTCTTTCTCGAAATATTATTTAAAATTTA